GGAAAAGTCTTCTGTTGAAAAGGTAACATGGATATATGCAAATTATTCTGAGGATCAGAGAGAAGAAAACAGTTTGCATAAATTAATAAGATACATTAGTAATAGAGAAAGTCTTCTTTAATACATATTAAAAATTGGGTAGTTTTTTTTTGGTAAAAGGGTTGTTGAATCTTTGATACAATCATAATGAACGTGATGGATTTTTTTCACTAGTGTTGAACATATGAAATCAACAAAACTAATGCGATTATAAAAATTATGGTTCTTCCAACACTAATGCGATTATTGTCTTTCTCTTCTTCTTCTTCTTCTTTTTTTTTTTTTTTTTTTTTTTTTTTTTTTTTTTTAACGATAGATTTTGTTTGATTATATATTAGATTAGTCACCAACGGAGTTTTAACCTATGTCGTCATGCAAAGACTCAACACCCTTCCATCATTATGGTAAAGGGCCACTTACATTGTCTTTCTCTTATTAACTTGCTATAACTTTTCTTGCTCAACAAAATGACATTTTATAATTAACAGACTATTTGGTTGATTGTAGGGGGTTCTTCACGACTGGAGTGATGATGACTGCATTCTTATTCTTAAAAAGTGCCCGAAGCTGTTCCTAAGGACACGGGGGAAGGTGATAATTATAGATGCCGTTATCGACAAAAAAAAAATGAGAAAGAAGACAAGAAGCTAGCAAATCTAAAATTGATATTAGAGAGTTTGCCAAAAAAAAAAAAAAAAATTGATGTTAGATATGGCAAAGAAAGGAGCTTGAATAAATGGGGTGGGTGGTTGGTGTGGGGAGGCTTGGATCATGATCCTCTCCTGAGCTAAAGGTGAGGATTCTTCTGGGCAAGCTCATCGGGCCGTTCAGATTTTATCCAACTGTTACAATTATTATAACTTTTAGAAATGTCATATGTTTGTAGCCATTAGATAAAATTTAAACGGCTTGATGAGCTTGCTTAAGAGGATCCTCATCCTTAGCTCAAGAGAGAGGATCCTGATCCAGGCGGCTTTAGTGGACACAGTGTCACATCTGTTCTTGCTATCCAATATTCTGTTATTCAAGTTTTTCTTTAAATTTAACGAACACATATTTAGTGATTTTATTCTCAAATAAGTGCTTCGTTGTAATTTTAAATTTACTTTGTGGTCCTTTTGTCTTGCTATGTGCAGTCTGCTTTGCAGTCTTTGGATGGTTGGCAATAAAATTTTGTGAAACTTGTTGTGGCAGTTATGAGCCTTTCTAATCAATGGGCATGTTTTTGGGCAATATAGTGCTATGCGAACATGGAATTTAATTGCAGGCAATGATGCTGATAAATAAAGGGAAAAATTTTAAAAGAAATTTTACAAAACTACTAATTATCCAACTATGTGAGGAGTAAAAACACTTCAACATGTACATCAAGAATTCCACTTTCGCTCTTCAATTTTATCTACTTTAGAATTTAGGGTATCATTTGAGCAAAAGGAAAGTGTTTTACGTCAAAATAGGTGGCATATGCAATATCTGCTGGACTAGTTTTCTTGACAGAATCGGAACCCTAATGAGCAACTTACGAGAAGAAAATCAATCAGTATTTGAGCGCGATAATAGAATAACATTATATCTTCTGCATGACCTTTATATCACTGAGGTCTTTTGTGATAAAACTCAATACATAGTAATAGATGGTTAATTAAGTTGAGACAATATTGATGACGTTAGTGATGGACTATGCTGAAACTTAAATTTATGAGTTGATGTCAAGCAAATCAACTCTATATATATCTCGCATGTAGTGTGCTTTTCTCCTTCAACTCTAGTTAGATTATGGCATGATTCACTTTTCAAATTTTAGTTGAAATCAAACATCCTCTTAGTTGAAATTAAGCGCCCTCTTTCAGATTCAGGAACAACTCTTATAACGTGCTTACGAATCCGTAATCGAAATTAAAATACAAAATTGGATTCCAATGACAAGATACCTCCGTTTACTAAACTTGGAAAGTAAAAAGGAAGGTGAGACCTACACAAAATAAGGAATTCAATTCCTCATTTGAAGGAATTGGACGCCATAATTAGAGGTGGTATTTCAATTCCAAGTATATGGATGAACTTGGAATCCATTTTTCTCGCCCATTATGCCCTTAAATATTTACTATATAATTCCAGTTTTGTTGGCCATCACTGCCCACTGCCTAGCAAACGACCTCTTTCGCTTTGGCTATTTTTCTTGAATTTCTTGTTTCTTTAATAAATACTAGCATATGGGTACACACAAAGTGTGCGAGAAAATTTTTTATTTTTGTTTTTGAAATAGAAGGAGAGAGTAAAAGAGTGATAGAGAATGTGGTGGGAGTGTGAAGATTTTTCTTTTTATTTTTTTTATTTTTTAATTTTTTAATTAGAGATATGTTAGGATTACATGTAGATGAGACTTAATAAAAAGGACAAAATTTGGTTGTGTGAAATTACATTTCTGCCCTACATTTCTTATTCATGTTTTGTTTTAATTAGAGGGTTAAACTGGTAATTTCATAGGACTTTGGTTGACAATGAGCGTTTTATTAATTAGTAGAGATTATTAATTGTACACATGCTATACATGTGTTTATTAAAATGTTGAAAATAAAATTTACAACAGAGAAAATATAAAGTGGTCGCTAAAGCTTTTTGGTGGCGACCTTCAAACAATTTTTCATTGTTGAGAGACTGTTTATATCTTTAGTGACTATTTATGAATAATTATTTTCTAACTAAAAATTTATTTTGTTTAGGAGAAAAATGTGAAAGAGAAAATGAGAATAACTGATAGAATAAATATAGACAGGGAGTATCTCACCATCAATCAAGCTGGATAGCATTTATTCAGAACTTTTCTTCCTTGGAGTATGGGCATCCGTATTTACATTTTTTTTTTTATAGACAAGGCTATTTCCTTTTTTTGCTAATTTCTTTATGAATTAAACTCCCAAAACATCTGTCTCATTACATAAGTATTGTATTTTGGGGTTTTTAGATCCAGGTCAAAAAATATAGATGGTTTTTAGGAGTAAGTCCAATTACCTAATTATATATATTTATTTTTTAGTGCTCATTTTATATTTTTTAAAAATATTAAAAATCAATTAAAATCTTCTAATATTAAGCATTTTCAACCCTAAAAAATATAATTAATATCATATAACAAAAAAAATAATATATTGACATAAATCTATTTGCAAATCATTCTACCCTAATTCAAGTAACAAATATATAAATGTATATCATACCTATAAGTAAGATATGAAACCTAACTAAAAGGTAGAAAAAAACATAATATATCTACAAGCAAGACACATGAATCATACTTGATTATAAAAATGAATATGTCATATAGATAGATAAATATAATTAACCTGTGATATAGGTTGATTATAAAAATAAAAAATAAAATCTATAAATGAGGTTTAAAATGGAATAAAGAACAAGAAAGGACAAAAAAAAAAAATTAATCAAAGAGATAATTAGGAAGAAATTTGATTTTTATAATAAATCTTATAATTGAAAAAATAATTATTGATAATAAAATAATAAGATTTAAGGAATTGAACTTATTTTAATAAATTTGATTATTTCTACTATTAGCTTAAAAAATTGAACCTATATCAAGTTTCCACTTGTTTGTTTTGTAGTTTCGAGCTGATCCTAGCCAACAAACGTGCTCTGACTGTTTGACTTTCGACAGTCGTGGTCTGACTATTCGACACCTGAGTCCTGACGATCCTATTTCGGTCTTCAGGCATCCTAAGAAAAGTCTTCGCCTAAAATCAAAAGGATATTAATCCCGCAAATAAGACAAAGTCTTCTTTAATACATATCGAAATTTGGGTAGTTGAATCTTTGATACAATCACAATGAAAGTGACGGAATTTTTTTTCACTAGTGTTGAACATATGAAATCAACAAAACTAATGTGATTATGAAAAATGAGGTTCCTCCAGCACTTTGTTTTCTCTTATTAACTTGCTATAAGTTTCCATGCTCAACAAAATCACATGTTATAATACACAGACGATTTGATTGATTGTAGGGGGTTCTTTATGATTGGGGTGACAAAGACTGTAGTCATATCCTTTAAAAGAGCCGGGAGGCTGTTCGTGAGGACACAATGTCACCTATTCCTGCTATCCAATATTCTGTTATTCAAGTTTTTCCTTAAATTTAATGATGTGAATTTGTATTCTTGAATAAGTGTTTCGTTGTAATTTTAAAATTACTTTGTGGTCCTTTTGTCTTGCTTTGTGTAGTCTGCTTTGCAGTCTTTGGATGGGTTGGCAATGAAAATTTGTGAAACTTGTTGTGGCTGTTATGAGCCTTTCTAATCTAAATGGGCATGTTTTTGGGCAATATAGTGCTATTCAAATATGGAGTTTAATTGTAGGCAATGATGCTAATAAATAAAGGGAAAGGTTTTAAAATAAATTTTACAAAACCACTTATCCAACTATGAGACTAAAAGCTTGAGGAGTAAAAACTCCCAAAACATCTGTCTCAATACATACATACATACATACATATATATATATTGTTTTTTTTAAGTTTCGAGCTGATCCTGGACCGCAAACGTTCTCTGACAATTCGACTCCGTCGTCCTGACGTTACTACTTCGGAGAAGTCTTCGCCTACAATTAAACTCCATATTTGAATAGCATCCTCAGAGAAGTCTTCGCCTAAAATCAACAGGATATTACCACTCAGTACTATGTTAGTATTCATCTTCACTTGAAAGTGAGAGGTTATAGGTTCGAATCTTGTAGACGGCTAATTCATTACTAAATTAGGTTGTCCATTGTGTAGCTTAGCCTAACTCTTCATTCTCTTAATGTAAAAATATCGATGTACTCAAAAAAAAAAAAAAATCAATAGGATATTAATCAGTAATAGACAAAGTCTTCTTTAATACACATTGAAATTGGGTAGTTGAATATTTGAAATCACAATGGAAGTGATTGATTTTTCATAAGTGTTGAACGTATGTATTTTGTTGAGCATGGAAACTTATAGCAAGTTGTGTGTATATTGTGTGTATATATAGTGCTAACTTAGAGCCTAATAAACACACACAAAAAAATGGAAGAGAAACAAAGAGAGTTGACATGGGAAGAGGAAGAGGAAGGGGCCACGGCGGAGATGTGGAAATATGTGTTCGGGTTTACTGAAATCGCGGTGGTAAGGTGTGCCATTGACCTCGGAATAGCTGAAGCAATTGAAAACCATGGAAGCCCCATGACACTCTTAGAGCTCTCAACTGCTCTAAGTTGTGATCCTTCTCACCTTTACCGAATCATGAGGGTACTAGTCCACCGCAAAATATTCAAAGAAAAACCCACCCAATCAGGCTCCAATGGTTATGCACAAACACCTTTGTCTCGCCGGCTACTAAAATCGGCAGAAAATAGCATGGTGGATTTGCTCTTGATGGGTAGTAATCCGGTAATGATGGCACCATATCTACGCCTGAGTACCCAAGTTCAAAGAAACACTAGCGATGCAGTGTTTGATGAAGTACATGGCAGTGACCTATGGAACTACGGTGCGGAAAACCCTGATCACGGCAAGGCTTTCAATGATTCAATGGCCTGTGATGCAAGGTTAGCTGTGCCTGCAGCGCTTGAAAGTTGTCCAGAGGCGTTCAAAGGGATTGAGACAATAGTAGATGCTGGTGGGGGTAATGGGACCACGACGCGCTTGTTGGTTAAGGCCTGTCCTTGGATTACTAAAGGCATTATCTTTGATCTTCCTCATGTTGTGTCTACTATTCCAGAGTGCGATCGCATTGAGAAAGTTGGAGGTGACTTTTTCAAATGTATTCCAAAGGCTGATGCTGTAGTTATGATGGTAAGTATATATATATGAAAATAAAAAAACTAATGTGCTTAAAAAAATTGTGGTTCCTCCAGCACTACTCCTTTACTTTATTGTCTTTTTTTCTAGTTTTTGTTTTTGCACAACAAGGCACGTTGTAATTTAGAGCCAGGCTAGATCTGACAAGGTTTTTTTTTGTGTGATGAGTAGTGGATTCTTCATGACTGGACTGACGAGGAGTGCATCCGTATCCTTAAGAACTGCCGTGAAGCTATTCCTAATGACAAAGGGAAGGTGATAATCATAGATGCTGTAGTTGAAGACAATGAGAAAGATTACAGCAAGCTAACACGAGTGAAATTGATGCTAGACATTGCGATGATGAACGGTACCAAAGGCAAAGAAAGGACTGCCAAGGAATGGGAGTATGTTATCAGGGAGGCTGGTTTTAGTCGGCACACTATAACACCTACTCGCACTGTCCAATCCGTTATTCAAGTATTTCCTTAAATTTGGAGAATAAAATGTTAAGGATGTGGATTTGTATTCATAAATAAGTGTTCCTTTCTATTTTCCATGTACAAGTGACTCTATCCCTGTCCTCCTCCTTTGAGTAGTCCGCTTCCTAGTTTTGGGATGGTTGGCAATAAAATTTATGCTATGCACACCTTCCATGATTTCGGGCAATGATGCTGATGAATAAAGGAAAAATTTTTAAAGTGAATTTTGGATGCGGTTCTTAACTATTAATATTTTTTTATTGAAATTCAATGTTTGATCAAAGTTTCCGATATTAATGTAAGGGTAAATTACATTTTCATACCTCAGGTTTGGGACCTATTTCAATTATTTGCAACATCTTCAAAACATTTCACTTTCATACATTAAGTACAATTTTATTTCAAAATAATACCTTCGTTACATTTTCCATCCATTGATCCGTTAAGTGCTGACATGGCTGCCACATATATGCCACGTGGCTGCCAAATGTCTGCCACGTGGCAATTTTTTTTTTTTTTTTTAATAAACCTAAATCTTTTAAATATTAAAAAAAAAAAAAAAAAAACCTGAACCCCCATTCCCTTTCCCCTTCCCCGCAACCCCTAACTCAAACCCTAAATCCCATGTCTTCTCTGATCCACTCTTCCCTGTTCACCTCCCCGACCCACTTCGTCTTCTCCACCCTAGCACCCCCTTCTCCCATCCCCCATCATCACCCACCTCTTCTCCCATCACCAACCCTATCCATCAGCCCCCGGATCTTCTCTGCCTTCACCTTCGACAACACACTGCAACCACCACGAAGCCTCGAGCTTCAGCAATCCCCGAGTTCAACAACACATTAAAGCCCCATGAAGCCCCGAAATCAACGACTTTGCTGCCGTTCTTCCTCTTGCTACTTGGGAATGTTTCCACGTATCTGATTCTCTTGAAAAGATAATTCCGTGAGCTTTGTTGAGAGGTTGCTGATAGATTAAGGCATCACTCCTCCAAAATTATTGAGGCCGATAGATAAGTCTTCTAAATTGGTGCATTTAACTAGAGAAGAGATGAAATCCAAGTCGCCTTCCTCATTATTTCCAAGATTGTTCTCTTGAAGTACAACCAGTTACAAATTTGACAGGCGTGCCAGACTAGGCACTTTCCAAATAAACTTATTGCCTGCAATAGAAAATACTGAAAGGTTTGAGGCTTTGGAGATTGAAACTGGTATTGGTCCAATGAATTGGTTCGTATGGAAAAAAAAAGGTTTCGGGGTTTGGAAATATAGTGTGGCCCAAGCCAGGTGGAAGAGTTGCATGAAGGTTGTTTTGAGACATATGAATGAATTTAATTGACGAGAGGTTGTATATGGAGGGAGGGATGGTACCATTCAAATAATTTTCACCCAGCGAAAATTGCATTAAGCTTTTCAACTGGCCAAGGCTATTTGGGATACCTCCATGCAGATTATTTCTATATGCAGATAGCATTTGAAGAGAAGAAAGATTCCCAAAAGAAGGTGGGATTTTCCCGTAAAAATTGTTGTTACCTAAACTAAGTACCCGAAGCTTGGATAATGAGGCAATTTCAGTTGGAAGTTCGCCACTAAGAGTGTTGCCATATAAACGAAGGCATTGGAGGTTAGAGTAATGTGATATGTTGAATGGAATATAACCACTAAATGAGTTGTTACCAAGGTGTAGTCTTTCAAAGCGAAACAAACGACCAATTTCTGGAGGGATGGTGTGGCTGAAGCTATTGTTTTGGAGGTATAAAGCCCTCAGAAAGCTCAAGTTTCCAATGTGGGGATATAGGTGGCCTGCCATCCCCCTTGATCGGAGGTCAAGCATTGTAATTCTCTGGTGTCTGTGGCCACAAATGATGCCTGGCCAATGACAGAAGTGGAGGGATTCATTCCAAGAGCAAAGGATGCCCAGGGTATTGGTCACGATTTCAGCTTTGAAGGCTAGCAAGGAAAGCCTATCCACCTCATTCCCCGCTAAACGCGAGGAGGAGGCAGAGCTAAAAAGAAAGAGAAGAAAGAGTGGTTGCATGAAGATAAACCAAATGCTAATATGAATACTTGAGAACTCCATTTTAGCTAGGCTACAAAATAAAGCTCTAGATATTTATCTATCCTTAGGTAACGTAAGTTGATGCAACAATAGGAGTCAATTTGAGCGTCAGGTAGATCAAAATATGGTGCGGAAAAACCCAAATCGCTTTGACCGTTTCTACATGCATGCCGTGGCTTATGGTTTTGGGCTTCGGCACCTGCAATAATTTTAAATCCGAAATGATACTCTTATCGCGTTTTAATATCTTATTTGTACCTCTTTTCTAATAGAAATGAATCCAGATGTATTAATGGGTTCAACTCTATTAGACGGGTGATACAAATGTGATATGAAAAATGTGTTAAGTGTAGCATTACTCTTCTTAAATAGGTATTTAGAAAACCATGTCAAGCATGCAGGTTAAGTGAAAGGAGAAACTTTTCAGGTTGCCAAGAAGACAGTCAAGTACACTAAGTGTACTAATACAATTGGTTAGAAACTTGAAGAAAAAAAAAGAAAAAAAAAGCAACCATTGTCTTATTACACGTGTACCGAGCCGTATTTACAGCACATTGAAAAAATTCCTCTAGTGAAAGAACAAAACTTAATAAAAAATAAAAAAAACAGAGAGAATTATCATAGAAAGCAGAAAGTGACTTACACGTTAGTTATGAAATGTTCGGCCCAGGTAGAAAGTAAAACTTTAAGACTCATTATCTAGTTTTCTACCTTAGTGGAATGTTAGCTAGTTTAGCACTTAGCTAATTTTCTACCTTAGTGGAATGTTTGCGAGTTTTGCACTTAGCTAGTATTCTACCTTAGTGGAAGGTTAGCTAGTTTTCTACGGTAATGCAAATGGTAAATTGGCTAGTTTTCTACTCTCATAATTATTACTCTTGGAAATTGCGATGCATCTGTGACGTTGCAAATTCTGTTACAGTTGATATTGTTGATAGGGATACACACCATTTTTAGGTCCCGTTTGGTATTATTTTTTTTCACCAAAAAAACTGCTTCACTTTAAAGTTAAGCAGTAAAAAAATGTTTTGTAAAAGTAAAATACGTTGCTTATTTTAAAAGTAATCACTTCTAGACAACAACTTTTAAAAGTAGCCTGTAGTTTGTTTTTAAAAGCTATTTTAATAAAAAGCAGAGTTAAGCCTTTAATACATATTTCAATTGTTGTAATATCTTCATTAATATTTTTAAAATAACATTATTTGCCTTCCAGACATATTTTATCCCGTAGAGAATAAAGTGACCGTTATGACCTACTATTACAAACACTAACCTTATACTATCAACATCATTACCACCACCATAACCATAACCGCCACTACTACCATTGTCACTACCATCATTGATGCCACCGCCGCCGCCACCACCACAACCACAACCGCCACCACTAGCACTACCACCGTTCCTAGCATCATTGTTACCTTTACACCCCAAACACTACATCCCACTATTAGCACCACCACCATACCTCCACTATAACAACAACCACCACCACTGCCGCCACAACCACAACTGCCACCACTGGCGTTACCACCACCATTAGCATCATTATTACCTCCACACCCCAACCACCACATCCTGCTATTAACACAACCACCATTCCTGCTACCATCACCACCATTACAACCACCACCACTACCACTATTACAACCATTGCCCTCGCCACAACTATTGTCTCCTCCTACTATATCCATTTTGTCATTGTATACAATTATATTACTTTTACATTAAAATTTACCAACGCTTTTTCACTGCTTTTCTTACTCACAACACTTTTAAAACACAGTTAATCAAACGCTCATCTACTTTATTTTACCGCTAATTATTCTTAAAGCACAACAAAAGCAGTTTTTTTTTTTTTTTAAAGCACAGTAATCCCAAACTGGGCCTTAGTCTCACGCACAATTTTGTTTAATTATGTCCCTTATTTACATTTAATTTTTTTGTTATAATAATAAAGAATGTGTGAGAAGCTAATAAGAGAGTGAAAATTACTTGTATAAATGATATTGTTGATTTGTTACTGGAATAGTGCCATTTGAGGACAGTACTTTAGTCTAAAGTGGGATCTCCAATTGCACTGTTCAAGTGAAAATCATATCGGAACAGACAATGGTACTCAAACTCAAGTGTCCCCACATGCTGACATCCAACAAACCAATCAAAACAAAATACGCGTAAAGGGTCTCGAGTTTTGCAAAATACATCACAATGAATATGCTTTACCCAAATGAAGGAATAGACTTACCAGCATAGGAAACTCATGCCTCCTCTCTACGAAGCTTTGCTGGCTCCCTGTGTTTTCTCACCTGCAATTTAGACCCAAAGCGCAGAGGTGTGAGTGTTTCTCTGGACATATTTTATCAAACAGGTGATAGGCATTGAACAAAAGATACATATGAAGGCAAATGTTGTTTGTAAACTTAAATGGAACGCGTAAAATTACACTCTAACATGGTTTGGCAATTTCATTTCATTAAGTGATTTCAAATTCAGTAATCAGAACATAAAAGAAGAAATACGAAAAATTACAATTAGAAGTCACATCAGTTAAAGAGTTGAAAAATAAGCAAGCTTGCTTAGGGAACTATATTTACACCTACAGAATAATAAATACAGCAATCTAATACTGATGAAATACTTGAGAAAGGCAAAATTTGTTTTCATTTCTTACTGATATTAAAAAACTAAATATAAAAATATATCCGCTTTGAACCCAAAAATTCGAAACGAAGGAAAGTACCAAAACTATGAAAATTTTAACCCTTAGAGTTCACTTTTGTTATAAAAACTGAAAGGAAAAAAAAAAAAAAAAAACCATTAGTTCTATAAAAAAAAAATGTAATACTAGTATACCACCCAAAACCATAAAAGTGCAGAAAACAGCATTCTCCATATACACGAAAAATGAAGAATTGATTGATTCCCACGTATTCAACTTTCATAATACACAAAAATTACAAATTTGGTTCCACAAAATCCCAAAAGGGATAAGCGAAAAGAGAAACTTAAATGTGAAGGATGAGGGTCTGCAGCCTTGATTTCCATATCCACAAATGCAAAAATTTAAAACGTTTTTCTGAAAACATTACGAAAGATATTTTAAGACTTGGCCTTTGGCTTGTGAAGTACCTAAAATTACAATTTGTTTTATAACATTCATTAGAGAAAAAGCCTCCCTTAATCCAATCATAATTACACATTGCAAGAATTTGATTCATATCATTAATAACCCAATCATGATTCATCGTATCCCAACATAAAATCAAATGAAATTCTACTATAATAACATTAACAACAGTTAACTTTTAAATCTACAAACACATTTTCTAGTATCATGTCCCATGTTTCTTAATCATTGCAAATTTGCAACTACCAAAATCCAGAGGAGAGCTACTTGCAAAAAGTCATTGAAGTTGGATCGAAGGCGACGTACGTAAAAATTATTCATCCAAGTATATAAAGTCAACAATGCAGAATGTAGTTTAAATTGTAAGCTAACTACGTCATAATCAGATGAGCCATGTTTATCACCAATATTAGGTGACCATTATTTTATGGGATGAATGTTGGGTTGTTGCTCCTAACTCCTACCATTTTGGTCCTACTAGAGCGTCAGACAATTACCATTGAAATTCAAGAATCACATTCTTATCCGAAGTGTACACTCACCATGAATTTGACGAGTGTACACTTCCGATTGTGACCATTAACAATTGAATTCAGAGTTTAGGGAATACAGATTGTGAATGTACTAAAAATTATTAGGTGACCATTATTCATCCGATTGTGAATGGAAAAACCATTCAAGTATAATATCATTCATCCAAGTATATCATTCAAGTTGAATTCAGGGTTTATCACCAATATTAGGTGACCATTATTCATCCGATTGTGAATGGAAAAAATCGACATTTACAATCCAAAATATAAGGTCTTGGTTATCACCAATAGTAGGGTTTGAATCGTATAAAATATAAGGAGTTTATTCGAGCTTTTCTTGATGAGAATTCTAATCAAGGTCTTGGTTCTCTTAAGGGTCAAAGTGTATCCAATTTCTAGGAGCATTAGAGACGTTCGATCATAGCCAACATTCCACCCCGTCGTGGAGCCTTGTGCTCTAATTACATGAGAAGCGCTTATCTACTTAAGCATTATATATATAAATTGATATATATTAACTATGCACAAATGTAATATATAAATTGAGATATATTAACTACACATTTTTCTTATTTATTTAACAAGTCTTAATTAAGAATATGAACCTATCATATAAATTAAGATAAAAAAATCCGCTAAGCCACTCGTAATTACCACTCAATATTATAGGTTGAGTTCACAATTTTAATTATCTTGGAAACAAATATCTACAGTCGTCCTACCTTGTCCTACCTACACACTAGCCGTCCTACAGCCGTCCTACCTTGTCCTACCTACACACTAGGACGACTACCTTGTCCTCTACAACCGTCATACCTTGTCCTACCTACACACTAGGACGGCTACCTTGTCCTACCTACACATTTGTATCATGTATATATATCCTTGTAATCTTGTAGAGAAACATAATGAAAAAAAAGGCATTCTCTTCCATTTTTCCACATTCACGTATCAATAACAAATATATTTTTTAGCCTACATACCTTTTTCTACATGGTATACAGAGCAGGTTTATAACCCTAGCCCTAATTTTTTTCGGCAGCTTTCTCTACTGTTCCCATGGTTGACTCTTCTTCTTCCGATGGTGTTTTTTCCCTTCATCATTCCGACCACCCGAATCTTGTCCTTGTATCCAAGAAGTTGAATGGTGATAACTACACATCCTAGGCCCGTGGCATGCAGCTTTCCTTGAGTGCCAAGAATAAACTTGGTTTCATCACTGGCGATATCCAAGAACCTTCTTCCTCCGACGACCCTGATGCTCACGCAGCTTGGCGTCGTTGCAATGACATGATTCTCTCTTGGCATCTGCATTCCTTGGAACCTGACCTTCAAGAATCTGTGCTTTTTTCCACCTTTGTCCAAGCTGTATGGGATGATCTTCGCGAACGCTTCTCTCAGAGTAATGCTCCACGCATCTTCCAACTCAACCGGGAACTTGCTACAATTTCTCAAGGTTCTTCTTCTATCTCCGCCTATTTTACTCGCCTGAAAGCTCTCTGGGATGAGCTTGCTTCTTATAATGATGGCTGCACGTGCTCTTGCAACGCCAAGCATGACCGTCAACAACTCATGCAATTTTTAATGGGCCTCAACGAATCCTTTGCTGCTGTTCGTGACCAGATTCTTTTAATGAATCCCCTTCCCACTGTTCGTCAGGCCTGTTCCTCGGTGTCTCAAGCTGAAAAACAACGCTCCCTGGGCGTCCTCCGCTCTGTCGATCAACCTGCTGCCATGGCTGTTCGTGGCCCGTCCCGTCCCTCCTCTGCTCGTCCTCCCCTCCACTGCACCTACTGCAATTTTGATTATCATACCCGAGACACCTGCCATAAACTTCATGGCTATCCCATTGGCCATCCCCTCCATGGCCAACCGTGGCGACCACCGCGCCGTGCCACTGCTTCCAGCTCTTCCCGCAACCATGCACCTTCCAGTCCTCCCCGGCAGCCACGGTTTTCTGCTTCCCGGCCCCATAATTTCACCTAGGCCCATCACGTGCAAGGCACCCAGGCCCCCACCTCATCTTCTACTCCAGCGACCCACCAAGTGCACGGGGCCTAGCCCACTTTGCATGACTTGCAGCTTGCCATGCCTGACCTCTCTACCGGAGCAGCACTCCTGTGTTCTAGCTCCTCTACGTGACACCACCACCCCTCCTCAGGCCAATGCCGTGCTCACTACTGATTTTGCCCAAGGTTTGTTACCTGTCACCTCTCGTCATGGTCAATGGATTCTTGACAGTGGTGCTACGGATCATATTACTTCTTCAGCTTCATGTTTGGTTAATCGTTCTCCTTCACATTTGCCACCTGTTTCTTTGCCTAGTGGTGCTTCCGCTCCCATTACTTTTACCAGCACCCTTCCTTTAAATTCATCAGTTACTTTGAAGGATGTTTTATGTGTCCCTAATTTCCGAGTGGACCTTTTATCGGTTGGTAAACTTACAGATGGATTATCGTGTTCCATAACCTTCTTTCCTTCTTGGTGTGTTTTGCAGGACTTGGTTTCGAAGGCGATGATTGGTGTGGGTAAGCGACGTGGCGATCTGTATTACCTTGTGGCCCTTACCTCTTCTCTCCCCACCCGTCAACCTCTCTGCAACATCATTACCATCCCCTCCTCCCTCTGGCATAGGCGTCTTGGTCACCCCTCCTCCACTCGTTTGCAAGCTTTAGCTTCTAGCTGTCTTAATTGTACTTTTGATTCTAGTCATATTTGTGATGTTTATCCGTTGGCAAAACAAACTCGTCAACCTTTTCTTTTGAGTTCAATTTCATCAACTTTCCCCTTTGCTTTAATTCATTGTGATATTTGGGGCCCGAATCGTCAATCTTCTCTTTCTGGTGCTCATTATTTCTTAACCATTGTGGATGATTTTTCTCGCTTTACGTGGGTCTTCCTCATGAAACATAAATCCGACACTCAACAATTAATTAAGGATTTTTTTGCTTATGTCACTACCTAATTCCGCACTACCATCTAATGCATTCGTACTGACAATGGTGGTGAATTTTTATCTCTTCGTAGTTTTTTCTCTGATCATGGGGTGCTTTTACAAACTTCTTGTGTTTATACCCCCCAACAAAATGGCGTTGTTGAAAGAAAACATCGTCATCTTCTTGAAACCGCTCGCGCCCTTCGTTTTCAATCCTATCTTCCTATCAAGTTTTGGGGGGAATGTGTTCTTACCGCTACTTATCTCATCAATCGTCTCCCTACCCGTCTTCTCCATCATAAATCCCCATTTGAGGTTCTCTTTTCGAAAACCCCATCTTATGACCACTTCCGCGTCTTTGGTTGTCTGGCATATGCCACCTCTGTCACTCCCACCACCAAATTTTCCCCTCGGGCTCATCGTTGCATTTTTCTCGGTTATCCTCATGGACAAAAGGCCTATACCCTTTACGATCTCGACAATCACCGCATTTTCACTAGTTGAGACGTCATCTTTCACGAAACTACTTTCCCTTATGCCGTTTCTCACCCTCCTATCCCATCCTCTTCGCCTACCCTACCCATCCCACCCCCTCTGGACTTTACATATAACCCACCCCTTCCTGCCCCGACGCCTCACCCTCCTCCACCTTCCTCCCCTTCCACGCCTCCCACAGATTCCCTTGCTGCCCCATTACCCGTTCCTCCCCATGCCCCTGCCTTCTCGGCATCCCCTCCTTCCATCCTATTTAAAAGACTACGTTTGCTCACAGGTGATTCTGCCATCCCACCCATCTTCGACTTCGCAACCCGGTTCTACACAAGGTACGCGATATCCACTTTGTAATTTTCTCTCTTATCACCGTTACTCTCCCAGGCATTTTTCTTACATTAACTCTGTCAGTCGGACTGTGGAGCCTTCCTCCTTTGCCAAGGCTGCCACTGACCCCAATTGTCAACGTGCTATGACTGAGGAGCTTCAAGCTTTATATGCTAATGGTACTTGGACTTTAACTTCCTTGCCCCCTGGCAAAATTCTCATTGGTTGTAAGTAGGTGTACAAACTCAAGCACAATTCTGACGGCTCTATTGACCGCTACAAAGCTCGTTTGGTTGCTAAAGGCTTCACTCAGGCTGAAGGTATTGATTATCATGACACTTTTTCTCCTACTGCTAAGATGATTACGGTGCATTGTTTTCTTGCTCTTGCTACTAGTCAGTCTTGGTCTCTTCATCAGCTTGATGTTAATAATGCTTTCTTACATAGTGACTTACATGAAGAAATCTATATGTCTCCTCCTCCTGGTCTTCGGCGACAGGGGGAGAATCTTGTGTGTCGCCTTCACAAGTCACTTTATGGTCTTAAGCAGGCTTCTCGCCAATGGTTTGCCAAATTCACTAGTGCCATCATTTCTGCCGGTTTTCAACAATCCAAAGCTGACTATTCATTGTTCACTAAAAAGTCTGGTATTTCTTTCACAGCTTTGCTCATTTATGTGGATGATATTGTGATTACAGGCAATGATACTAGTGCCATTAATTCTCTGAAGTCTTTTCTCTGTGATCATTTTCGGATAAAAGACCTTGGTGATTTAAAATATTTTTTGGGTATTGAGGTTTCTCGTTCCAAACAAGGGATTTATATTTCTCAACGCAAGTATGCATTAGAGATTCTCAAGGACTATGGTTTTTTGGGAGCACGACCCATTGCTTTTCCTATGGATGACACAAAATTATCTGATAAAGGAGAACTTCTCAAGGATCCTGAAAAGTATCGACGATTAGTAGGTCAGTTAATATATCTCACTATCACTCGGCCGGATATCACCTATTCTGTGCATGTTCTAAGCCGTTTTATGCACGAGCCAAGGATATCTCATATGGATGCTACGCTTCGTATTGTTCGTTATTTGAAGGCTACTCCAGGTCAAGGTTTATTATTTCGTTCTGACAACCAGACCAAGTTAACTGCGTTTTGTGATTCTGATTGGGCAGGTTGTCCTATCACTCACCGTTCGACTACTGGGTATTGTGTATTCTTGGGCGGTTCTTTGATTTCTTGGCGGACGAAATGACAGAAAAACGTTTCGCTCTCTTCAGCAGAGGCGGAATATAGGGTCATGGCAGGTGCTTGTTGCGAGATAGTTTGGCTTCGTTTTTTGTTGAAGGATTTGAACATTCCTTTGGATGGTCCTTCCATTTTATTTTGTGATAATCAAGCAGCGTTACATATAGCTGCCAATCCTGTTTTTCATGAACGAACTCGTCACATTGAGATGGATTGTCACTTTATACGAGATAAGATTGTAGATGGCACAATAGAGACCAAGCATGTGGGTACGGCACTACAGTTGGCAGACTTGTTTACCAAACCTCTTGGGAAAGAAAAGTTTTTGGGTATGTTACGCAAGTTGGGAGTTCTTGACATCCACTCTCCAACTTGAGGGGGAGTGTTAGACAAATAAGGAATATGGTTGGAGTCCTTGTGTAATTGTATATAATATTATTATTGGAAGAATAAGCCGTCCTACAGCCGTCAAGCCGTCCTACAGTCGTCAAGCCGTCCTACAGCCGTCCTACCTTGTCCTACCTACACACTAGCCGTCCTACAGCAGTCCTACCTTGTCCTACCTACACACTAGGACGGCTACCTTGTCCTCTACAGCCGTCCTACCTTGTCCTACCTACACACTAGGACGGCTACCTTGTCCTACCTACACATTTGTATCATGTATATATATCCTTGTAATCTTGTAGAGAAACATAATGAAAAAAAAGGCATTCTCTTCCATTTTTCCACATTCACGTATCAATAACAAATATATTTTTTAGCTTACATACCTTTTTCTACACGGACAAGTCTCGACCAACAAGCGCAACGTAGTCCCATCACCACCACCCACATCTACTGTAGTCTCAAGCCCCTTGAACACCTATAAACAGCTTTCAATCACTGCAGGCACAGCCACCCTTGCATCACAAGCCATTGCCTCGTTGATGAGTTTGCTGTGATCGGGATTGGCGGCAGCAAAGCTCCATACATCTTCTCCATGCACTGCCTCAAATGACGGATTGCTATTTCCTCGAAGTCGGGCACATAGGCCGTGCCATGGGGCCAGCAGTACCGGGCTACTCTCGAACAAAATGAGCACAGCCATGCTATTTTCTCCGGATTTTAATAGCCGTTTGGACAAAGGTGTTTGTGCATAACCTTTGGGACCTAATTCCGTTGGCTTTTCTTTGAATATTTTGAGGTGGACTAATACCCTCATGACGCGGTAAAGGTGAGAAGGATCACAACTTAGAGCAGACGAGAGCTCTAAGAGTGTCATGGGGCTGCCATGGCTTTCAATTGCATCGGCTATCCCAAGTTCAATGGCGCATTTTACCACCGCGATTTCAACAAGCCCGAACACATATTTCCACACATCCACTTTCGCATGCTCTTCTTCTTCTTCCGATGTTAACTCTCTTTTGGTATCTTCCGTTTCTCTCTGCGTGTCCATCTTGTTGTGCGAAAGCTCAAAAAAATGTGCAAGATCGTGAGTGGAAACAAACAATGACAAGAAAGAGATACGCAAACATTAATGAAACCAAGTAACAAGTACTCAAAGATTTATGCTAGTTGAAGTTTTGTAAACTGCAGGTTTAATATGAATGATTAGTAATCCACCATGATTAAAGAGGAGCATATGGATATAGTGTTTGAACACTCAACATTTAGGATGCACAAGTGAAAGATGGAAAAATATGAGATTCAACCGCAAAAGAGTGGATGTAAATAGCTAGTGTGTTTTACTTGGGATTTCTCACACACAATGGCCTTTATGGGGTGGGATACCATTTTTTTTTTCTTTCAAAAAATAGGGATTTGTGTTGGGACCTATTCAGCTATTGCACGTCGAACTTTAACAATCCAAACCATCTATTTTTTCAAGTCCCGATTCATAGATCATCCATGCAAAACTTAAATTTAGTTTGAGACAATTTGCCCATTTAATTGTTATGATGAAATTTCAATGTTTCTTAGAATATTGTGTTCCTCAATTTCTTTGAACTCAACAAAATGACTCAATTATTTCCGATTTGCCTAATATTTTGAAAGAATGATCTTACACCTTGAAAAATAGATGGTTCGCATTATTGCCGTTCGACGTTGTGTGAGCCCAAAACAATCCCCATTTAAAACAAAGGGATGTGTAGTCATTCCCTTAGAGGCTTTGTGTATATATATAACATCCAAAGGTTTCAGGCTGAATTGAATTTTTGCAAAAAGTTTTACACTCCTTTTAACCATTGGATTTTATAACATCCAAGTGTCTTGATTAAATGTGATGAGAATGTTTTTAAACATTAAATGACATGAATTATAACTAATTAAAAATAAGAAGGCTTATTATATTAACACCCCCCTACAAATTATTGAATAAACCCCACATAGTTAATACACCCCACATTTGCTTTTTCACTTATAAATTATCTTAATACACCTCACATACTTCCCCATAATACCTTCACACCCCACATTCTCAATATACACCTTATATTTTCTACATACACCCCACATTTTCTATACACCCCACATTTCTCAAATCTTATAACACTTATTTTTAATTTTCAGGAACTAAATCTAAACATTTGAACGTTTAGTTTGTCGAATGATTTCAAATTATATGAACATTTAGTTTGCTGAATGATTTCAAAATGAATGATTTGAAAAATGTTTAGATTCATTTGAACTTTTTCAATAATAATAATAATAGTAATTTTTTTTTAAACCTAATAAGATCAAAATTGTCATTGCATAGTGAGGGTAAATAAGTCATTTAATATTAAATTTTAATGTGAGGTGCATTCAACATTTTGTGGAATGTTAATATAAAAAGCCAATAAGAATGTTAAATGAATATCAAATAATTAAAATAATAAAACAATTAAAAATATCATTTAACTTAAGCTACTGGCCAAGAATGAGGTGAAGAAAAAATTTCAGCATCTTCAATAAATGTTGTTCTCATTCGATTGATACATAATTTCAAAAACATATTAAGCGATTCGCTTGATCTCTTGAATTATTTGTTAGGTAAACAAAACGAAATTCTGGATCCTAAATCTTCACTCTTGTATATTTGGGTGATAAATTAGGTTGTAGAAAAATCGCAATTCATTACGTAAAGAAACATGTGTTAAATATTGTAGATTATATATATACATTATACGCATACGCATACGCACACATTACACATTATATGTTTGTGAATTGGGGTAGCTTTGGTTCATTGCATGGAGAAAATGTGTCAAATATTGTAGATTATCTGTCACGTTCAATGGGATCTCCGCAAGATTCAACCACCCTAGATATACAATGGCAGACATCCTTTTGCCCCTTGGTTGCAAGGATTTTGTCTTATATCAAAAAGGCTGGGCAAATGTGCAAACCAAAGAAGCCGGGGTTGATAGAAAAATTCGAATTCGGAAAGCGAGCCAAAATTAAAAATAAAATAATTAAAGAGAAGCTGAAAGTGAAGATAAATTCCTTTTATAGAAATAAATTATAATTCTTTACAAAGTTAAAATTAATAAATAAATAATTAAACTTCTAGTATCACATTTGATCCGATCTTATCTCGTCTATCCTTTTGATTGTCTAGTTCATAAATATGTATAACAATAGAGTGATGAGCTTTTAACAACTCAATAAAAACATAACTTTATCACAATAAATTGACAATACTAAATTAAGTGTCACGACATCGTACAATCAAGTATCAAATCATCAGCAATAATAATGCATGAATACAATGAAAAACACCTTAACTATACTCGTTAATTCATAAACCAAACACCCATAGCTCGGACATCCCATTATGTGCTTATACCCCTTGATCCCAAGTAACAAATTATACGAACGAACCCGGTAACTCAATCATCCCAATTTCTCTTTTGTTAGACGTCTTGCCTAAACTTTTTGTTGCTATTCCCGAATTACTCTAAAAAATTATGCATTATGGACTCGCTTGAGATCTGGCACATGTTGAAATTTTAAGTGGTATTTCAAAACACAAATTCTCATCTTACACTACCTTTGTTGTTTATATTTCTTTTAATTCAAAATTACATTTGATTCTTTAATTTAATTTCCTTTTGGTATTAATTCATTTATAATCTTTGTTGACCGTACCCTTAGAAATAACTTTCCAGGTTGAATTCTTATACCACACATTCAATGCATTTGACATCAAATCTTTTATATGTTTGTTTTGATTCCAGTCTTACTTAATTGGCCCGTTTGCACATCGCATTAGAATTGGTTTTTACTTACTGTTATTTTCAAGTTAGATGAGAACAAAATCCTTCAGTTTCATGAGTCTGGTTTTAACGTATTGGTTAAAAATCATATTTGAAAGCATAACATTGCAATCATTTGATTTAATTTGTTTTCATTGCCATGACTGTACACAGATTTTTGGGGCTCAGCCTCTGGCTATATATGGGCAGTCGTGAGTCTTTTTTGGGATCATATATACAAGATCATCATCTGTATTCCCTAATCGAATCCCTTATTTTTCCAAGTGTGGCTATATCATTCAATTGTTTTGTATCAATGGAAAAATCGAGTTATTCATCCGAGTCAAGTTGGCTGGCACAAATGGCGAGTGTGAATGTACCAAAAATTATTCATCCAAGTATATCATTCAATTGTTTTCTACAGTTAGACTTTTGAACAATTCGCATGTGAAGTTGGATCTAAGGTGAGCACACAGTGCGGATGTGAACATACACAAGAAAGACTGGCCATGGCCCTGGCCCTGGGCGAGCACTAACACCAGGTGTAGCAATGTATGATGAGCAGGTAAAATATATATGAACATGCCATGACAGTATATAATTCTCAACCACGTAATAACATTTCAAAAATGAAATAAAACATGGCATGATAGCCATAAATCAACCCAAAAGCATATGTGGAAACTATAAAGTTTATATATATATACACACACACGAAAACAAATGCCCACTCACTGATACGTCAATGGATCGTAGCCTCCTAGCCTTGCTTGACCTCGTAAGTCCTCAAGATAAGTCTCACCTATGTGCGAAATAACTAAACTAATTAATTAATAAGGACATAAACGAAAAGGCTAGGAAAAACCCCCATAGTTTGCTCAAATGGAGGGTTTAAATATACAAAAACATTCTACTCGACGACGTGGACCCGTACATGTCAACCACTCGCCAGCCGGTGGCCGGACGAACTCTCACGCGCCGCCAAGTCGCGACCACGCACCTGACAGATTGACAAAGGAATATTCCATCAAATCTGACGGAATATTATGTTAAATCTAACGGCGTCAGTTAAATACCTTAATGGCATTAGAATATTCCGTTAGTCTAACAGAATATTCCTCTTTCTCCAGTGGACCTCGGTTGCCGTCAGCCGCCGCCGTCGTCTGGTTTGCCAAAAATTGGGAAAATTTCACCAATTTTTGGAAAAATTTCAAATCTTCATATCTTGCTCATTTCTCAACCATTTTCAACGCACTTTATATAGAAATGAAGCTCTTGAGGAGTAGAATAAGATTATACATTTCAAAAGTCCAAAAAGTGGATGGAAATGGACTGAAATTGGCTCAAAAGTCTCAGACCTAAACTCGACTCCTTGAAACTGGGTATTCCGACATTGGCTCCTCTCCCAACTTAGGTTAGTGGCCATGAGGAGTTGCGTAGGTGCTTCCAAAACTCTCGAAACCTTGTAACTCGGACGGGAACACGTCGGGAAAACTCCACCCGAGTCGGAGCTCTGAGTTGGACTCAAAACTCGTCCATTTCATGATCAGTTGGTACAGATGAGTTCGTCAGGATGAGGGGAGTGTGATGGTGGTAATTTTAAGTTTGATCTATGAGGGTTTGAAGGTGGTCATTGGAGTTGTAGAGAATAGAGAGTGACAATAAGGAGAGAGAGAGAGAGAGAGAGAGAAAGAGAATATGAGTGTGAGAGAGAGAGAGAGAGAGAGAGAAGAGAGAGAGAGAGAGCTTTCTGATTGGGCAGATAGAAGAGAGAATGAGTGATGTCTGATTGGCTAAGAAAAGTGAGAAGAGTAATTGATTGGTGAGGGAGATAGGGTCACGGGATAAATTTTAAAGAGAAAAACAAATGATAAGATTGTACAATTCGAAATCCGACGTAATCTAACGTACCCTATCAAAAATAGTGTTTCCAATACTGAAATATTAGTATACACGTGTACAAATCTACCTGTTGTTAATGCACTGTAACTAAGCGTAACTTTTTCGTTACAAGTCCGATCTAGGTCTAATTTGCACTCACACGATCGTAAAAATGAGTACTATTTAACTATGATAGCGAGAAAATAAATTAAAAGCCGAATAAGTACGTCCACATCAGTTTCCACTTCTGCCAAAAAGGACATAAACGTCAATTTACACACTCGGGGAGAAAATTACATAAGAAATTAGGGACGGGTCATCACAGAGGTTGTTAAGCCTCAAATAAATATCTTTTCCAGCAAGCGCCAACTCATGCTCCAATTCAAAGTGAACATGCATATCTATTTAATTAAGATATCTCTACCAAGCATGACATCTCAACATAATATGGCGTTTGCACGTATAACATTACCATAAGCTATATAATAATTACTGCTAATTCAAATTAATATATAATATATAGTACCTCAAGTTATTTAACATTCAGATTATGCCTCTGCAATGGTCCTGAAACTTTTTGGTACACTTGTTCAAATCTTTTACATCTCACCAGCTGAGTGTTAATATCATAATGGTTACATATAATTTCCATACCATAATTGGTGAGTACAAAACTGATTTTAAATTGTATCTCAAAATATTATATCAAATGCATATATGCTAGATAAATTTAAATTCAACTCAAGCCCATTGGTAGGATATCGCCACATATAAACACAGATAAACTAATCTCTTCCACATAAAGGATTCTAAAAACATTTTCCGTCCAATGTTGGTCTTCGTTAAGACTACCAACTGGATTTCATATTGGGAATGCATGTCTAATTAGGATAGCTCTAGACATCGCTTCTCAACATAACAAGGTAAGTCTCACAGTTGAAATAATACTATCATCATACATGAAAGATAAAACTCACCATACATTATCTACTAATAAAGAGTACCTCTCTTATATTTGTACGAGAAATATATGGCTCTTTAAAACTTTTGAATGTACTCCAATTAAGTGTTTCATCATATATGAATTCACAACTACCTATTGTCACCTGAAAGAAGATTTTTCCATACTAGGACTCTCCACCCCCACAATTTGAATGTATTCTGGAAGGGTGTATAGCATCAAGATCTGCAAACTTTAGCACTAACATAGTTCCACCGCTGTCATAATCGGTTAAATTGGAACCTTCTCGATTTGGAGCTGTCACAAGGGTCATCACAATTGTACTACCCCTTCTTTATAGTTACTCTGATTATAGTATTACAAAGGCTCAACCAATATCATTAGTTCCATACAGATCAAATTGACATCATGCATAAATCAACATCACAATTAAAATGCATGTAAAGAAACCTCATATTTAATTTCAAAATGGTGATAACCCCCCACAATTTCTAATCATATTGCAGTAAAAAGTGTAACCAATTTATTTTAATAAATCACAAGGTACGGTGAGAGAAACATCCACAAGTTCTGGAAAGCCTTCAAATTTTAACAAATCACACCTGATTTACTGTCATACGTATTGGACATGCTCCCACATATAGTGCAGTAATCTTTATCCCAATCTTCTCTAATTGAAAAAACAAAACCCCAATCTCTACCAATTCGAGATCTGACGCCACCTGGCATCTCAAGTATTCCCAATCTACAGGATCTTCGGCTTCGTCTCCAACTAGAAAGCACGAGATCTCACCGCTGTATGTCTTGGTGGATTTCAAAGGCGAGGCTTTGGCACAATCACCGTTGTTAGTTTGAATGGGAATCGACCTCTCGAATCTGCTTTGGAATCGATATTTTCCCTCTCTATTGCTCTATTTCTTTCTCTTGATTTGTGTTGCTGTTTGTTTAGAATTTAAGATATGTGATTAAATTTTGTTGATTTGGGTTTGTTTACCTGTTGGGTTTTAGGCGAAGGTAACACAGGAGCAGATAAATAGGAAAATCTAGGGGTGCACGTACGGAAGCGCGTTTCCACTGAAGATGGATCTTGAAAGGCAAATCCTTTCTCGGTATGTGATTCTTCTTTTTTTGACGAATTTTGACTTGTGTTTGTGAATTGTTGTAATGGTTTCCCCTTATTTTTTTTAGGATTATTATACAAAATGGTCTCTGAGATTTGCATGATCAATAAAAATGGTCCCTGACATTGAAAATCAATAAAAATTGTCCATGAAAATGTCCATGATCCATGATTTTGATCCTTCCGTTAAAAACGATTTTGGGCAATTTTCAAAGCTTTGTAACTCAATCGTTTCTTAACCAAATTCGACCCATAATATATCAAAATGAAAATAGGAAAGTTTAAAATAAGATTATACCTATTTGGAAGCCCAATAGTAGCCAGGGATGGCCGGAAAATTGCCTGAAATGTGACTGGTCCGCGGGAAAACTGTAAAACTCGCCGGAAATTGGGTAAACTTTAAACGTTCATAACTTCTTCAATACTCAACCAAATCGAGTAATTCAAAAATGAAAATCATACTTTTCAACGAGATGAAGAGAATGTTATCTTTCTTTACTGCTAACTCGTCTTGGTTTGGCCGAAAAAAAGGCTCGAAAGTGGCTAACCATTTTCGAGTTAGCCACTTTCGAGCAGTTTTCCGGCCAAACCACGGCGATTTAGCAGTAAAAAAAGATATCATTCTCTTCGTCTCATCGAGAAGTATGATTTTTATTTTTGAATCATTCGATTTGGTTGAGTATTGAAGAAGTTATGAACGTTTAAAATTTACCCAGTTTCCGGCGAGTTTTCCAGTTTTCCCGCGGACCAGTCACCTTTCAGGCTATTTTCCTGCCATATCCAGCAATCATTGGGCTTCCAAATGGTATAATATTGTTCTACACTTTCTTATCTTCATTTTGATATATTATGGGTCGAATTTGGTTAAGAATCGATTAAGTTACGAAGTTTTGAAAATTGCCCAATGATTTTTTAACGGAATGGCCAAAATCATGGATGGTGGACAGTTGCAGGGACCATTTCTATTGATTTTCAATCTCAGAGACCATTTCTATTGATCATGCAAACTCAGGGACCATTTTGTATAATAACCCTTTTTTTATGATTGAGTAGAAGTAAACATGTGTTGCTATGTTGAAAAGTTAGGTTTTTCTTCTTTTTTTTTTTGTTGTATTTGTCTATTATGCTGCCTTTTTATGTGAAACCCGGTTGCATTTTTTGTTTGGAATCGTTGGGGGATTGTTGGTTATGTATCGTAACGGTTTTTCAGTATGAGTTTTGCATTAGAGCTATGTTGGTAGTTCTGTCTGTGCAGGTCTTAATCTCTTTATACAGTTGTGCCCAGTTTGTGTCATTATTTCTCACTCATTGACGAAAAACTGATTCAATCAAGAATATGTTGATGGAAATTTGTGTTCTTATGTTCTTTCGTATCCTCTATATTGAGTCGATTATAACACCAGCTCCCTAACAATTTGAGGTTTCGTTTTATCAAATATCCAGACTGAGTATGAGTGTAAGAAAGAGCTTACGGAATCTCATTTTGTAGTCTGAGTTTCCTCTAAAGTCCTTATATTATTGGTGGATATAATTGTTTATGATGGAGCTTAAAACACCGAGTTTTTATTTAGTTTAGTTTGTACACTCCAATGCATGCTAGTTCAGGTAGTGCATAAATGTGTAAAAGTGGAGTTAAATCTGAGTCTACTATTTGTACTCTGTTCTTCGAATGCAGCTTCAAGAGGCCTGCTGGTTTAAACTTTAAACTTTTTTCTCACTGACAACTCAAATCATTGAGTTAAAATAATAATAATAATAATAATAATAATAATAATAATAATAATAATAATAATAATAATACTTGTGTTCTCCTCATGGGGAATAAACATATTCCATTCCCAACTTGTGATTCTAATTTCCACTTCTTGGTCCTTAATCATCCTTGTCGTCGAATTGTGAAGTAGTAATCTAATGAAATTAATATTTCAAGTCACAAAATTTGATACGTTCTAGCACTTTTCTCCACAGGTAGTTTTTGTATGTTTTGAGTTTTTTAATACAAATTTTCAGTGATGTTTTCTAAACCTGTGGTTTTGGTAGCTTTGCGGTTTACCCTTTTTATTTGCACAAAGAACTTGTAGACAGGGTAAGAACTTGATATTGATTTATGGGCTAATTAATGATTTAGCTTATAGCATTGGTTTGGTTCCTATTGTTTTATGTTTATAAAAACAAAATCTTTGTTTATGGTATTGGGTTGGCTAATCTTGTATCGTATATATTTGCAGTAATATATGTAGTGGCTCCATTTAGCAGGTTCATAATCTATCATGTATTTATCTTTTCTCAAAGGACCCCCCTTAATATAATTTTTCAAGAGTTCTATTCACTTTTCTTGATTGAGATCAAATGTATATTTCTACCTATACAAGTACAAGATTTTTTTCTTGATCCATATGATATGCTTATGTCCATGCAGATAGAGAGAGGCAACAATTGCTAAGGCTCAAGCATTAGGGGCAGTAGTTCGCTTTCAAGGTCATTTGTTTGGAGGTGTTCAAAGAAATGTGAAGTCTTCAAGTGACAATGTCCTTGTTTGTTGGAGGTCTCTAGATAGTTTGGTATTTCTTTGTATATCTCATCTTTGTTGTTAGCTTTAGTTTAGTGTACAACTGTAATGTTTGAATCTATGATTTTTTATTTAATTGTTATATTGTAGTAAATGTGTAATTTTGTGTATAAATATTATATAATACATTTATTAAAAAAAAAAAAATTTTTTTGGAAATTTTTTTAGAACGGGCATTAGCTGTGGCCAATTTGTAATCCACAACT